GTTTGTGTCAACCTGTTAAGGATCATAGTGCCTTCAGGATCTCAGTGCAGACTCATTTAGATTTTGTTTCAATTGTAAGAATTTGTCATCAGTGTACTTGAGTATGTATTAACAAAGTGGAGAATTGAAGTGCCGACAGGGATTATTTGAAAGAAACATTGACTATAGAAAAAAATGTTTTGAAAATTAACTCATCAGTATCTTGTTTTAGTTTTTCCTTTGTCAGAACTAAGAAGAATGTCTTTTGTTCCTAATTGCATTTTATGAGACATCTTTTGTGTACACTTTGTGATTTTTTCAGATTTTGCTGTATTAATTGACTAGCTCAATCATTATGTATTACTTTGAAAGCAGTGACTTAATAGTGTATCTAAGTTCTGATATTTTTCGCTATATGTGGATTATACCAATTACATAAAGTGAATTTAAATTTCATGTGATGATGAAATTCAGTTTCATAATGTGAAACATGTGATGCTTCTTCTTCAAGAGATAATAATGTGGTTAGAGAGATAAGATTAATGTGTGAATTAATACACACATGAACATTTCACAAGATGAAAACCTATATAGAACTAAGCTACATGGGGTGAGGTTGTCTAGAGGTAAGTATAAAAGTTGCGTCAGGAAATACTGAGATCAATGAAAGCTAGCATATAGTTAGGAGCTGCTTGCCAGAAGAAATGTATGTGAGTTGGGCCTAATAGCAAAAACATCATAGAAAGGGAAAGCACATACATTAATTCTTAGTTTTAATTCCCCAAACTGTGTCAAGTTATTATATTCCTCTCTACTCTCAACTTCCTTTGTCATCACTCTGGTTGAAGTCATTATCATCTCTCTCCTAGATTAATGCAATAACTCCTTAATAAATCTCTCCTATTAGTGCCATCCTGATCCATTCTTCACCCAAAGGTTAAGTATCTTTATGTGCGTCAGGTTGTCTTCATCCTCATTAACAACCCTGTGAGGTAGACTCTCCTGGTCTCACATTATTACCTGAAACCTGAAGCACAGAAAGATGCGTCCACCCTACTAAGTGGCAGAGAGAGGATATGGTCTCGGGAACTAGAGCCTGCACTCAGAATCATCATGCTATGTGCCTCCATGGTATACTGCTGTTTTTATTTAGGCTATTTTAAAGACTTTTTGCCAGAGGTAGTATATGTGTGGGAGGGGGTGAGGGGGTAAAGATTAGTATAAAAACAAGCAGCTGCCTGAATTTGGCACAACAGCTGTAAAATTAGAAACAATAGTAGCACTTGAACTGAGATTTCAAAGTTGAAGCTTATGAAGTTTATGAACCTTAATTAAAATGTCACTGATGCAGATGCCAAAAAACATGAAAAGAATAATGCATGTTAGTTAATTGTATTCTAACTAGGAGAAGAAAATCAGGAAGATAATCAAATGAGCAACAGGCGTTTTACATTTTGATTAATAACTTTCTCCATCATCAAAAGACTCTCATGAAAATATCTGGGAACAAAGACAAGTGACTAAATAGCTTCAATCCTCTGTGGATGAAAGGACAGTTTGTATTTTGTACATGGTCAAATGTACTTGAGAGAGATATGATGTACAAATATTAATTTGTTAGAAGCCTAGAAAATAACAATCAGATATGCTTGATGATGCAAAATAATTTGGACATCATGTGTTCATGTGGATGAGACATCGTGTTTTATTCAGTGTATACTCTTTGTTCAGACACTAAAATAATTTTAGAGGACAAAATGTAGTATTCTACTTGGAGACTAATTGGCTATTTTTTTAAAACTCATAACTTTACCTAACCTCCTGGACATTGTTATTGTAATTCCAAAAAAGTCTTAAATAAAATATTTCTAAGAAGCAAGAATAAGCTGATAATCTGTAGATGTGTGTTTCCCTGAACAACAACGATAAGTTAATATACAGATAACAATTGACTTCTTTCTATATGAAGTGTCAGGCACAGTGCTTGATACACAGAATCTCATTGGGATCTTAGGAAGTGGTTATTTTTATCCCTATTTTCCAAAGGGAAATTAAGAAATAATTTTCACAAGTATACATAGATACTAAGTGACAGAATCACTACAAAACTTCTATTTGTTTATTTCCCAAATTCTTAATGACTGTGTCATACTCTTTCTTCTTCCTTTTCTCCTTTCCTTCATTCTTCCATCCTTCCAAAATATTTCTTGAAGATACACTTAGGGACATTATCATAGGAGGCATAGGGGACTCCACCATTTTGAATTCTTTTCACTTTAATATTGAACTATATTGTTTTCTGGGAACTGTATCTACTTAGTACATGGTAACTACCTGGTCAATATTTGATCAACTAAATGTTTTGTTTTCATATTAACTGGGTATTATCATGACCATATCACTCTAATTAATGCATAATGTTATGTATTCCTACCTTGATCTTTTCATTTTCATGTAAATTTGGGGGAGAGACTCTACCTAGGAAATGCCATATGAGTGTTTATCCCCACATTCTGTGCGCACAGATGGCAAAGGGAAAAGTGCTCACTTTGTTCCAGGAGTTAGTCGACTATGGCTCACAAGCAAAACACAGGCCAATATTCACCGAGTTATGGAACGGTTACCTCTACCTCTATTATCTCTCCTAAATGTGTTTAAGAACTGGCTCCATCTGTGAGACTCAGAATCAGTGACAGGTTTTTCCTCTGTCTTGTAAATCAACAACCATTTTTGCATTATGCCAATACTTGCACACACAAATCTCATTGCAGGTTAGGAGGATTACCCAAAATCAGCACTTCCATATAGCCTCACCATGGCCTTTAGGAAGGAAAGAAGTGAAACCATTGAAACCTACTTTTAAAAGATTTTAAATTAGATATCATTCTCTTTTTGTGTGTGCCTGTTTAGCAATAGAATCCATGAATCTACAAACAAAGGTAGGGCCAAGAAATGGCACAATGCAAATAAAGTGCCCTCACTTACACAGCCGCAGTGACAATCTATATTTGCAAAAAGGTGAATTGGGAACCCTAAGGACAGTTGCCAATCACTAATTTGTATACAAGAGGGCTTACTGTATAGTCTGAATTTAATGGGGTACAAACTTAAAATGGTTTTACTTTTTTCTCCAATCATTGTTTCATGCTCTGAAGAACATTTCTTTCTAATCCCAATGTCATTTGGAACAGATTCTGTAGCTTTCTGGTCACTCTAAGTTATTAAAAATACTAGTAATTTAAAGCTTTGGTTTCAAAAGCATTACATATCTCTCATTGTCTTCTCTCCTGGGGACGATGCCGGTAGAAGTGCGTGGAAGGGTTTTCTGGGATGCCAGTCCCCCAGGGTATAGGATCAAATAGAAGGGCTAGAGAATGACAGGCCCTAACTGATACCATGTTTTATGGTAGCTGCCTAGTACCGTTTCAGTGTGCTTCCACTTGCTATTTGTGGCCACCATCCATGTAATAGTAGAACCAAAAGTCAGATAATCTTAGAAGGAGTCTACTATGTGTTCATCACGGGGAAAATTTCTGATTTTCACCATGACAGTTTTGGGGTAGCTACAGAAATATGAAGCATTTCACAATGAATAAAAGAATGGATAAAAATGGAGGAAGGGATGCCCTAGCCTGTATTCTCAGTAGTTAGAGGATTGACCCAGGCATTGAAGGGTCTCAGGTCCAATTCCAAGTCAAGGGCATGTACCTGGGTTGCAGTTAGATTCCCCAGGCCGGTTGGGACGTATGTAGGAGGCAACCAATCAATGTCTCTCACATCAATGTTTCTCTCTGTCTCTGCTTTGTTTCTCCCCCTCCTCCTTCCCTTCTTTCCACTCTCTCTGAAAACAATGGAAAAAATATCCTCAGGTGAAGATTAACAAGAAAACAACAAGAAAAATGGAGGATGGGAAACAGCCTATATCATTACAAATCTTATGTTAATTTATAGTGAGAGGAAACAGAAAAATGTTGAATGGAAATTTGAACAGAGGAATGGAGTTTTTGTTGTATTTAGTGATTTTTTTTTAAAATATATTTTATTGATTTTTTACAGAGAGGAAGGGAGAGAGATAGAGAGTTAGAAACATCGATGAGAGAGAAACATCGATCAGCTGCCTCCTGCACACTCCCCATTGGGGATGTGCCCGCAACCCAGGTACATGCCCTTGACCGGAATCGAACCTGGGACCTTTCAGTCCTCAGGCCGACGCTCTATCCACTGAGCCAAATTGGTTTCGGCGTATTTAGTGATTTTTAAAATTTGTTTCTATATTTTTTAACCTATTTGAGAGAGAGGACATTGTAGGTGATACTAAGTGAAGATAGATATAATGTAGTAATGAGGGGAATGATTCGTGTTTCAGGAGAAGATTAAGGGGAGGACCAAACCAGTGAAGTCTTTAGTTCTTCATAAAAGCATTTTAAAATATAAAACACACATATTAAATACCAAACAGAAATTATCTTGGAGATGGGCTTTGAAGGATGCACAAATGTTGAGGATATATAAAGGAATCCTAGCACATTTTACTAACACTAATAACATATCCAAAGGCCTACCATGCAGGAGATATGGACAACTGGGAATTATTGGTCATTTAAAATTCCAGATGGATGCAGAATAATACTAGTAGACTGATTTTCCTTCAAATCAAATTTAGTTATTGAACATGCATCTAACATGTACAAATTTATTCATTCATTGCAAATATTGGATACCAAATACTATCTATTAAACGGCAATTAGGTTAACTACTATAAACTAAAAATTAGGTAGTCTAATAAAGACACATAAAAATAATTTCTATGATTCTAATGCTACAGTATTTAAACATATTAAGTAATTTCAAACTAAAATCCTTTGCCAACCCTTAGTATATTAGCTCTAAATTGCGTTCATCCAATGTTTGCTTGAACCAGATAAGATCTGACGATTTTGCCTTCGCCTCAGCTTTTTCTCTGACAATATTACTGCATTATCTGCAATGACTATTCTACAACAATTGCTATTTCCCCCAGATTTGGCAATGCGGAGGCTCATTGGAGATTGTGACTTGCTCTCATGTGGGTCATGTTTTTCGGAAGGCAACTCCATACACCTTTCCTGGTGGCACCGGTCATGTCATCAACAAGAATAACAGGAGACTGGCAGAAGTGTGGATGGATGAATTTAAAGATTTCTTCTACATCATATCCCCAGGTAAACAATTCTGACAGTTTTCATTCTCTGCAGGAGAAAATATAATTTTAAGGATGTTGAATATGTGTTTCATTATTTTTACTAGTTTAAATAAAATGTCATCACCATAATGTTGCAGAAAGTTGTGTTTGAGAAAGTTGTACTATGAAGTTAATTTTCACCTAAAATGAGAAACACTGTACTGATCTCAGATGCCTAAGTATCCTTTTTCTTTTGTTTCTTTCTTGGCATAAGCATTATATCAGAAAAATGGAGCAAACAGTACACAGAGAAATCCAAATTTAATTAACATGTATCAGGTCAATGTAAGAAAATAATTTATTTTCAAGAAAAGGAAGCCTTTATTTTCTTGTTTCACATATAAAACTGACTGAGTTGGTAAGAAATTTTGATAATGTTTAAGTGGAGATGTTTTCTACTGCCTTATTTTCTTAAATAGCTGACTCGCAAAAGGTTAAATGACCTACAGAAACAAGATAGAAAATTATACAGATATTATTTTTTATTTTAAATACTTTTTAATAACAGTAAATTACTCATCAATATGTATGTGAGAAAGCTTAATGGGGCAATAAAATGTTATTCTACTTTATTACAGAGAAAAATAGATACAGAAATGGAAGTAAATTCGGGCTATCACTGGGTGGTGACATGAGTAACTTTATTCTTTTCCTTTTATTTCTCTGTATCTTCTAAATTTTTCTTATAAAACATTATTAATTTTCCATATAAAACATAAATTAATTTTAGTAAAGTATTGACAATTTTTAAAAAATTGAAAGCATTACAAAAGGAAAGAAAGCCTTGTGAGAAAATCCCATTACAGGGTTGTGTGATTGTAACCAATTTTATTCTTTATAATTTTCTAGAGTTTCTCCAACCATTATGTTACTTAATTTTTTAAAAAGATTACTCTGAGATGTTACTTATTTTTTAAGGAAAAAATGAAGCATGAGAAGATACAAATAAGAAGATGACACAGGGTTGCCTTCCAGATCTCAGAGACACCAAAGCATAAATTAACATAATGATAAAATAAACTTTAATGTTCTGTTTTGATAGTTTCTATGTAGGCCCTATGGTCATCAATATCATTGTTAGGAAACCCATAAAAATAACAAAAATCCATGCCCACATCCTCTTTTCTATATTTTAATCAACTAGAGGCCTGATGCACGAAATCCATGCAAGGGGCTCAGCCCTCGCAGCCCTGGCTTCATCCAGAAGGACGTCTGGAAGGTTGTTGGTTATCCAGTCTAATTAGCATATTATGCTTTTGTTATTATAGATATTATAGATGACATGGCTTACACAAGCCTGTTTTGTTTCTAGTGGACAGACTCTGATTTCTGAAAGTTTATATGAGGCTGTGAAACTCTTATAGATGTGAAGGGAGTGAGCAGGGTGAACTTTCCTATGAAGATTGAGCATTACTCTGTAGAAAAGAAAAAATGAGGAAGGCATGTGCAAATGTGTGATTAGGAGAAGGGCTTTTCACACATTTTCAAGGCTTCTTCTGTGTCAAGCAGCTATTGCCAGATACACTATTTCATGCTTAAATGTATTTCCCTTTGCAGTGGGAAGCCATTCCAGATGTTCACAAACTTGAGTTCAGCAAGAGCATGTAAAATTCACAGCTAGGCAGTGGCATTTATACAACCTTTTCATTTTCTTTCAATGATCCTTTTTGAATATAAATCATTACTTGTAGAAATATATAAATTCAAATATGAAGAAAGGAGCAATGGAATGAAGAAGTATGTAATGTGTGATTACATACTCCTAACATTAAGGAATATAAGTAATTGAAATAATTGTAAATATATATGTTATATTCACTCTTGATGAATATTATTTGTAAAAGTGATGCGTAACTCTTTTGTATAATTTCCCATTGAGCCAAAAAGGCAGATAAACAGTGGAACCATTTCGGAAACTAATAAAATGACAAGCTTTAGAGTTTAAAGGGTGAAAAATAAAGCTTTCTTTCTGGAACTAATGACACCTTGTTAATTGATAGGGACTGAATATTCTGGAACCTGTAGTTTTTACATTACAATAAATACCACTAGGGAAGTTATTGTTCTTATAAAACAGGCTCATTTAAATCCATAAAGGTACCTTGGAAAGCAGAGAAAGGGTACTTGGGGAATATGCTGGAAGTCTGTAGGAGTTTCCTAAGAGGGATTTATGCTTATGGATGTCTCAGTCACAGAATTGCGGAGCATGGAACCTGCCCGCTGTAGTGTGAGCAGAGAGAAAATAAAAAAACATGAAACATTAAATTGCTTCTCAGTGGAAAAGGAAGAGTAGTAAGCTGGAAACTGGAGTTGGATGCTTAAAACCAATTCTAGCCCTCGGCAGGTTTCAAATCATCCCAAAACAGATAAAGTGGGTTGCATTGAAGCAGCCAGGAGTCTGTCATGTGAATGGTGTCTAGCCATCTAGAGTGGATAACTGTTTTTGTCATTACCGATGGCTTCTGTTACTCTTACAATCAAAATCTCAGATTTCTTTGCTATTGTCTAGAATTGTTGGGTTTCTATTTTTTATCTCATTGGGTAACAGGTAAGTTTATAAAGAGGGAAGGTGGTGTGGGGGAGATTAGAGGCATATATACCCGCACATTCATACTGAGAATTATAGTATAATAGTCATAAGCACACACATATTTATGAAGAAGTATAAAAAGGCTATACTGAACTCTGTTTGATTCTCCTGAACCACCTTGATATTCTGGCTAAGGGAATTGTTCCTTTCTAGAAGCACCACCATGTATCAATTAATTTGTCCAAGATGTTTTGTGAAGAGAATCCTATTTTTTATACCAGCACTATTCTGAATCTTATTTTTCACTTATGCAGTTATTAAAGATGCAATTTTGAAGTACTGATCTGTTATGAATTGAATTCTGACAACATTGCTTCTTTTCAATATGGTCTATAAAATATCTACTTTATTGGTTGGCTTCAGGAACACTTCAGCTCTTTCTCAAACTGTGTGTTCTTCCTTTCTAGAAAGTATGTTATTCCTTGTACTTTTGACACCATGGCCAATACATTATTACTCTGTATCATATTGTTTCACTTTTATTATTATCATTTCTATATCGAAGGTAGTTCAGGTACATGCATTTCCAGTGCTTAGTAATTTCCTGTCTGTGTAGTCCTTGAAAAAAAATAGGCTGAATAATTGAAAGAATGAATGAATGACAAAATAAATGAATGAATGTTGAAAGGGAGCCACCTTCATTATTTTTATTTTTTACATTCTCACCTAAGGATGTTTTTATTCATTTTTAGAGAGAGGGAGAGAGAAAAAGAGAGAGAGAAATCTATCGGTTGCCCTCCTGTACACACACCAACTGGGGATCAAAACTACAACCTAGTTATGTGCCCTGATCAGGAATCAAACCTACAACCTTTTGGTGTATGGGACGATGCTCCAACCAACTGAACCACCTGATCAGTGCAGGAGACACTTATTTTTTCTTTTCTACTTAATTCTCCATTGACATCTGGTCTGTGTCAGGGAATCTCTTCATAAGACTTTCAGCAAATGAGAAGCCTTTATCCCACCTCTCTGAGCCAATTCCTGGTTAAAGACCCACTGACAAAAGAAAGGTGAAGGGTGCTCTTCTTATCAGAAAAGGCCATTCCATTGGTTACCATGTACTTAGGGTTTTATGATTCCACCATAATCAGAGGCATACATAGTAATATAACTTTTAAAAAATTTATCTTTAGTGTTGAAAGTATTACAGATGTCCCTTTTTTGCCCCATTGACCCCCTTCACCTCACACCCTCCCTCAGGCCTTCGACACACCATTGTCTATGTCCATGGGTTATGTGTATATCATATAAGTTATTTAGTTAATCTCTTCCTGCCCATCCCCCTTCCCTCTGAGATCCCTTAGTCTTGTTCCATGCTTCCATGTCTCTGGATCTATTTTTTTGTCAGTTTATTTTGTTCTTTAGATTCCATACATAAGTGAGATCATGTGATGCATGTCTTTCTCTGACTGGCTTATTTCACTTAGAGTAATCATCTCCAGGGCCCTTCATGCTGTCTCAAAGGGTAAGAGATCCTTCTTTTTTTTACAGCTGCATAGCATTCCATTGTGTAAATGTACCACTTTTTAGCCACTGATCTACTGATGGACACTTGGACTGTTTCCAGATCTTATCTATTGTATATAGCACTGCATCAAAATAAAAAGCTTCTGCACACCAAAAGAAACCACCAACAAAGTGAAAAGGGATAACACATTTGCCAATGATACATCTGATAAGGGGTTAATTTCCAAAATCTGTACAGAATTTATACATCTTAACAAAAGGAAGACAAACAATCAAATTTAAAAATAAGCAAAGGACCTAAACACTTCTCCAAAGAGGAATACAGATGGCCAAGAGACTTATGAAAAAATGGTCATTTATTAATCATCAGAGATGCAAATTAAGTGAGAATGAAGTATCATCTCTCACCTATCAGCATGGCTACCATCAACAAATCAACAAACAACAAGTGCTGGTGAGGATGTAGAAAAAAGGAAACCCTAGTACACTGTTGATGGGAATGCAGACTGGTGTGGCCACTATGGAGTAACAGGATGACGTTTCCTCAAAAATTTAAAAATGGAACTACCTTTTGACCAGGTATTCCACTTCTAGGAATATAGCTTAAGAATCCCGAAACACCAATCAGAAAGAACATATGCACCCTACAGTAATGTAATCTTATCTTCCAGAATTAATATAAAAGTCTAACAAGCACAATTTAGACAGATAATAATGTTTTCTGATAGAGTAGCATAAGAGTTGTTAAACTTAAAATAAGATTATTTTCCACACATTGATTTTTATTTTTCTCAAGCCACCCCCCCATTAATTTAAAGTTAAAATGGTATATATAAAAATGCATGTGTTAATTAATTTTATCTGATTTAAAAAAAAATATTTACTCTAGAGCCTAATTGTTTGTTTTGGCCTGTACACAT